GGTGGGGGAGGAGATGCAGGTCGTAAGGAGATGGGAGGCGCTGCAGTCGGTCCTGGTCGCGTGGACGCCGGGGTGGATGCAGTGCGCCGGCGACGGCTCCATTGTCCTCGACTCATCAGATCCAACCTCTTGCCCGCGCCGGCTGCTGACGGAGTAGTCGCTGAAGGGAGGCCCGTTCTTGCCGACCACTGGCGTTGCGCCGTGCTACCCAGCCTCTGCAACTGCGCCGTGATGGTGAGTCCATCGTCCATTCATTCCTCTCTAACTCGCACACATTCTAATTCGTTGTCATTTTCCATGTGTGTTTTCTGCATCAGCGTGCATGTGTATTCTTAATAGGAGTATCTAATTTTGGCTGTGTTAACAGAAGGCCTTTTTGTGTGTGTTCTAGCCTCAGATTGTTGCATCATGTTCCTGACATAGAGTTGTATACTTGTATATTAGGGGTGCTCAATTATCCTGTGTGTTTCCGTTTTGTTTAATTGCTGTTTCATGAAGTGATCTCAATCTGATCATGTATCTAATTGCCGTATCCATTTTGTTTGATTATCCAAGCAGGGTACTTGAGAAGGTTGTCCTTCCACTCGATGTTGCACCTCCAGCAAAGAGGGGAATATGCATTGTGTTGCCATCTCCTAATGTTTGGTTCTCTCTGAATTTCTGCATCATAATACATCGCCGCTGCAACCAATTAATTCAGCTTCTCGGACGAGTGTGCTTCGTAATCCAGACATGGAGAAGCTTTAGAATGGTTACTTATTCCCAGAGGGTACAGAAAATTTAGAGATTTCACTGCCATTTGAGTATGCATGAATGTTCTTCACTCACTAACGTATATATGACTGTTTAACTGATCATCCTTTGTGCGCGTGGTTCAGATTAGCATGAGATGTGAAGCACACCAGAAGAAGTACCCAGACGCCAAGGTCATCAGTTTGGGCATCGGTGACACGACCCAACCCATACCAAGCATCTTCACATCTACCATGACCGAGGTACATATATACCCTTTCCTTTCTTCCCTGAAGCAAAATTCCTTGTTTATTTCCTATATTGTTGATGCGGGTGAACTGATTTGGGTATTATAATAGGCTTTGCCCTTTAGTAATTTCCTTGTCGGTCTGCCCGTACAGGTAATGTCTTCCTTCTTCGGACACAGCAGAATCTTGCAAAGTTAGCACTGAATTTGTTTGTGTTAAGACATGATTTTTTTTCTTCTACAAATTCAGTTTTTCAACACGATTGTCTCATGTCTTTGTCCGTGGTTACTGAGGAAAGTAGTATGTTTCGTGTTTGATCTTCAGGTATCTAGGATTATTGATGGTGACATGGATGATTCCTGTGGTCTGGAGAAGGTTGCTTCCAGTCACTTGCCTGGCTAAATGTATGTACATTCTCTGAATATCTGTCAGACGTCTGTTTATTTCCTCATGTATACAAATCACGCTGTGGTTTGCACAAATATTCTTCAGGGTTCACTCGCCTCCTGTGTTCAACTCGTTGTCCAATCTAGATAGCACTAATAGCGACAACGATAATAGTGTTCATCTCGTTTCCAGATACATAATTTTCTTTTCAGCTCGAGTGCGTTCTTGCTTTTGATTATGGCATTTCTTACAACATACAGTATGCTTGTGTGATAATATGCTTGTAATTTACAATGTTGTGATTCAATTTAAAGAGTTTAGCCTTAATAATATTCTTGCAAGTTTTTATTTGCCAGATCACTAAAAGTGGTATTAGATCCTAAAATTATTTTACATATTTGTTTTTAGACATGATTATCTCCTTGCTTTCTTTGAATGATATTGCCAATTTGTTTAGAGTTCTCTATGTTCTGAACATTGCAGGCCAATGCATGAGATAGCATTTGCGTCAATTGATAAGCCAGAGCTACTTAGTCATGTAAACAAACTTATAGGACATGGTGAGCCAAGGTGAGCTGCCGCCGATTCTCCCCATTGCTAGCCCCCACTCTTCCTCTCTTCTTATTGCTCCCTCATTTTCTTCCACTCTGGCCGCCCATCCATCTACTTGTAATCCTTTTTCCTGAAACTATAAGACAATGGCTTACCCTGACATTTTGGTAGTTGTGTGAGATGAAACATGATGCTAAGCCGAACAATTTATTGTTCTTTTTACACATGAGATCATATTTTGGTACTAGCGAAGCCTAAACCATGATGCTTTCTTGCTGCTGCTGTAGTCTCTAATGAAATTGTGAGATAATGTAGTTAAGCTAAGTTTCTTGTGGCTAAATAAAACGGATGTTGGTAGTTGCATAAGTTGAACCATGACGCTTGTTATGCTAATCTTATTGATCTGGACTATCAAAAATCACAGGAGCCATTTAGAAAAAACTATGGTACTATTAGAAATTGATCGTATTATGTACATACAGCTGACTAAAATTTAATTTTGACGCTGCAGATTAGTACAGTTCTTTACTGTTGAAATTTGTAAGGGGATTTATGGAAGGTTTGTTTATCTCTCCTCCCACTCCAAATTTCAGTATAACATTTCTAGCACTGGCATTTTTCCTCAAAAGTATTTTTGCCTACTTTCATGGTAAGCATATTGTAGATAGTATTCCATTATCACTGATATTTTCCAGTTATAGATGTACATGTAATTCTGTTTCTATAGAAATATGGTTGCTGCGTAGCATATTTTCTTACTAGAAGGTACTTATGTTCCCACTGAATGCTTATTTTTTTCACGAGCTCCAACACATTTTCGTTGGAAATTCTATTGGATGGGTAGATATCTTGCTAGATTTTAAGATTTAGGAGCCCAAGAGCAATGTACTATTTTCTCCAATATGGAAATGAAGTATGCTGTGGGGGGAGGATGTACTACAAACTGATCTAAAATAAAGAAAGAGCAATCTTTGGGTGACAATGAGATTCATGGAGACTCAATGCAGATTGTCTTTCCTTCCCGTTTGTTTCTTATTCTTGTCATCTCATGTAGTATATGCTTTTGTGCTGAATTACATGGAAGGTCGAGATGACCGCACCTACATAAATGTTTTTTTGCTATTTTTCTTAATGTATGGATGCCTACTGACCCTAAGTATATTTGTTTAAAATGTTTACCTATGAAGTTCCTATGCTATATAAGAAAGTTGGTCTGAACTATTTGAGGTCATGTTCTATTTTACAGGTTACTCGTATAGTTGCATAGCTGATTCAGTTATAGTAGTCCAGAACAAGTGTTTGTATCTATCTTAACTTTCAGGTTACTTGTATTGCATATTGATTGATTTTGTGCATGCTCCTACGCTAGATTTTTTTTTGAAGTGTATGTTTTTTTAAACAAGAATTGTACATAAGTGCCCTTAAGGATTATAAGCAAGATAAGTGCGCACCGGACCGCCTCAAATGACGCGCCCAGCCACTAGTATGAATGTATATCAAACCGAAACTAATGAAGCACCAATTGTTTGCCAGAACCAGTAATACATATGGATCCGAAAGAGAACGATATTTCCAGCCGGTCATCACCACCAAACAATTCATCGAGAGAACAAGACACATACCCACAGGAACAAAAACAGTGGTGCTGCTTGCCTACATCAACATTAGAACTTAAACATGCACGAAAAAAATGAAAAGAATGACACTTTTGCCAACATATCCAACTATGTACTAAGGAGTGATGTTGAGTAAATTGGCACCACCAACAACAATGGATCTCAAGATCACTTTTGAAGAATTGGAGATCCTCAGCAAGGGTTGCATTGATTCCCTCCTCACCTGTTGTTGGCACCTGGGTATCGTAAAGAGTGAAAATGCTTCATCATTATTGTTTGGGCAGAACGGAAAGACGCCAAGGATACATAATTTTAGCCAAATAGTTTCCATCTAGCACTAACAAGAATATGTTGCACTAATCTATCACCAGCAACGTTATAGTGGAATCTAAATTTATAAGTAGCAAATCATGGAATTTTGTATTTAGACACTAATCCATAGTATCACTGGAATTCTCATTCTAATCTTTTCCACTGGTTGCACATCATCTTCCTTGAGTATGAGCAGACCTTGTTAGGATGATCTCCACCGTGTGGGCCCAACGGCCCACCGGGCCTTTAGATCCACGGCCTGATCGGGGCGCTCAACCCACTATGGGTGACGGGCCCCTGTCACCTGCACTATATATAAAGAGGTGGGGGCCGGCGGCTCGGATTACGAGGTTCATCGCAACGCCGTGCTGATGGGAAGCACCGCCACCACCTCGCCCACTACTCTCTGCCATCACTGGCCACCGTCACCATGGCCGGCACCGGTGGCTCCTCGAGCCACAAGGAAAAGGTAATACCTATCACCACTGCCGGAATCCCCATGCCCACTGGATCAACAGATTCTATCAATGGTATCAGCCCAGGTTGGTGTTATGGATTTTCGGTAGCAACAGAAATCCCCCCTCCCCAAAGAACCCTAGAACAGGGCAAAGAAAAATTCCTCTCCGGGAAAGTAGCGCCGGCGTTATGGCCGCGCCGTTCCTCTTGATCCGGACGGGCATCGGCACGCCGAGCCGTCCGGAAGAAGAACAACCGGAGTTAGCCCAAGGGCTCGCCGGAAAAGGAGAAGGGGGGCACCGCAGCCAAACCGCTCGACAGCGGCGCGCTCACCGCGAGGTGGACGCGCAGCCGGCGAGGGGGAAGGCCACGGCGCCGCCGTCGGAACCTCCGCCACAGTCGTCGTCCAGATCGAAAAAGAGGAGGCGCTGGTGGTGGAGACATAGAGGAGAGGACAGGGGGGAAAGGGGGAGGAGAGGGTGGCGCGCAGCGCGGTGGCTTCAGGTCGCCGTCGCCGGCGGCCAGACTTAGCTCGCCGGTGGCCTCTGGCCCCGGCCGCGGAGACAGATCGGAGGACGGCCTGCCCTCTCTGCAACAGGAAAGAGAAGGGGAACAGGAGGAAAGAGAAGCGGCCAGGCTCGCGCGGTGGTGGACGCCATCGCCGGCGGCTCGACCGGACCGACGCGGCGCGGTCGCCCGGCGACCGGGAAAGCGTCGGGTCAAGAGAGAGGCTGAACGACGCGCGAGGAGAGAGGGGAGCGAACGGACTAGGTTTCGTCCCAAACACCGTGGTGGGTCGGTTTTGTTCGAGCGTAACAAGCGCGTGTCCGTCCTATCAAATCTGACGCCCCAGATCAAAACCCTAGCTGGTTGCGGGCCGCTGGGCCGGAAAGGGAGCAGGCGATCAGGTCGTGGGCCGATTTCTCACCGCGGGGGACAGGCGGCTCTCGCCAGCTGGCCGTGGGCCAAGAGCAGCAGGCCGCAGAGCGACGCGCTGAGCGGGCTATGGGCCGCCGGCGTGAAAGAAACGGCCGACGCACAGAGTTTCCTCTGATAATTTTTACAGAGCACAGTTTTGATGTTTTTCGTCCAGTTTTTGGGCAGATTTCAAATAGTTTTTCTATGCAATTTTTTTCCAACGAAAATATTTGTTTAGAAAATAGAAAAAGTAAACAGAAAAAGTTTCTGAAAATAAAAAATTGAAAATTTTCAGAAAAGAAATGTTCATGAATTTTATAAAGAAAATAATAAAGTTCATGAATTTTTATTTTATGAAAGAAAAGTTTATGTAAAAAGAAAAAGTTCCTGAAGTTTCTATTCATGTTTCCGCTGCAAATAAAAATAAAAGTGTTCTTTTAAAAGTGAATAGAACCAAAGTAAAAGATTAATTTGTTGCTTCTCTAATGCATTTTCGAACCAATGGGTTAAAATTGCTTAGAGAGTAAAAGAGTACAAAATTGTTTCTGAATAGAATATTATAAACTTTCCGCTGTAAAGTAAAAGTTTTATACTCCAATTAAATTGGAACCAACGGGAAAATTTAATTGGAAGAACTGTTCTTAGCAATGTTTTCCCCTGTGGGTGAAATAAGATGCAGATAGTTTCCGATATGACAAAAGAAAGATATTTGTTTTAAAGTGAAAATATGGTATTGTTATTTTCTGACCAACGTTGATGATAACAGTATTATAGTTCTATGAGTTCTACGTTCAAAGCTTAAATCTTTGATAAATTTTGTATCAAAGTGATCAATTTTCAGAGAACGGATAAAGATCAAAAAATGCTCTTGAGCAAGAGAAATGTATATTTCTTGTTCCCGCTGCAATAAAGTTGATGATGATTATTTCTTAGCAAAGTTGTTTAATAGAAATACTATCATCACAATGTTTGTGAGTTATATGCATTATTTCCTTTTCCACCCAACGGTGATATGGAATTAACGTAGAAGGATGATGTTTTATTCTAATTCTGCCCAACGGTGATTTAGAATATAAAAGAATTTTTCAAAAGTTTAATGTGCATATTTTTTAACCGGACCAACATGGGGTTAATTTATGCTCATTATTGTTGATTATTGGC